ACAGCTTCTTCTAGAGAAACAAGTGGAATCTCTTGTATAGTTTCATCTTCATAATTTGAGAAACTCATATCCAATGGTTCTTTATCGACATCTGAGATACGTATAATCTGTTGAGCTAAGTTTTCTTCTTCAATATCCATTGTCATTTTAGTTACTTTTTCAATTTAAAAAAGAATGAAATATTTCTAAATAAACAATAAATTATAATTAATAGAAATAGTCCAATATTATTTTATTTCAATAGATATACCTGTCAATCAAAATTACATTGGAGCGAAAGAAAATAATAATAAAATTGCTCGAAATAATACAAGATCAAGTATTATTTCCTTTTCTATATACTTTTAACAAAAATATGTGTAACTTATATCGATTGATAAAACTTTTAAAATAAAATAATATATTTCGAACTTACGTTTTTTGCTGAATAATGATTTTTATCTTTATAAGTATACATTTACTAGAAAAACACGTGTTTATACTTTTCCGTTCTCTTCTTTCCTAATTGGCGTATAGTACTTAATATAGATAGTATCTTGACGGCGATTACTGAACTGTGACTATTTTATATTCAATAATGATAAATATATATAAATCAAAAACAGGTAAACAATTATAAAAGAATTTTTTTTCTTGTATTTTGGTCAAATGACAATTCGGAAGTCATTTGATAAAATTTGAATTTGACAAAGTTGTTGCCTTTTATCATTACTTATTGAATAATACTAGGTCAATTTTTTATTAGAAAACTTGGAATTTTGCAAAAAGAATCCGAAACTCAAAAGGCTGATAATTCATTAAATCATATATTGAATCGATGACAAACTATTAAATTAACTTTCAACGTCAACGCACTGTTTTTAGTAATATTATTCAAATCTTTTTCATCTAATGAAAAAAAAAATCTTGTAATAAATAAAATTTTCAAGTTTTATTATCATTTCATCAAATAAATAAATTAAATTAATCATTCTTCAAGAAAAATCACAGAACTATAAAAAATTGACTATTTTAAGTAGTATCAAAATGAATGAGCGCAAGAATAATATTACTTGTGCATTTTCATATAATCTTGACCTACTATCATAAGTTTATTATAATGCTGACTTGCTTTTAATTTAATTAATTAATTATTTAAAATGAATTATCAATAAGAATTTAAAAGAAAGCAATAAGTAACTATGTATCAGTCCCATAATATTCATCCATTGATTGTTGATTGTAAATCAAACTTCTTCGTACATTCTATAAAAAAAAATAATAATAAAGTTAAAATTGTTTCATTCTGGTCTTATAAAAACATTGCTCCTCAGATAATTATATACTAGTTTATATGAACTGTTCTTGAAAAGAATGTTTTAGTCAAAAATAAATTAGTATCTGAAATATTTTCTTATGAATTGGCTGGTTCCTCATTTCAATCTTTTCAATATCTGAACATTTTCTAAATTGATTTTTTATATGGCATAATATTTATCTAAGATCGATAGGAATTCCACTTTGCATAGCTGGAAAAGAGTCTCGGAATATTCATTGTTTATTTATCATAATATTCTAAGTGTAAATACAAAGTATAGACAAACGTTATTTTTCCTTCTTTTAATATTAACATGCGACATCTCTGTTATCATGGTTTTATTAGAATACAAAGTCTTCTTATTCTCTTGCTCGTGGAGAAGAGTCTTAGAAACATAAATTGTTTGCTTGTGTGTCCGCAGGGTCAAAAAAACATTGAAAACCGATTTTCAGGAAAAGACATTTCCGTAGGTAATTCGATGCGGGGAGTTCGAATCTGAGGACCATTGGGTGACCGAGTGAAGAGGGGTAAAAAAGCATCACAAATCAATTTTTCACAGTTTTCATTTGTTTTTTCAATAAATGTGAAGAAAATGCATTTCTACGAGAAAGAGCTAAGCGAGTCCTCAGACGAGCGTTACTTGTTATTAACAATGACTTTTATTACAATACTTAGTTGTCGGATATTTCTTATAATAGTAATTAGCTGATGTTTATCACATATGTTATAGGTTCAGATGAAGTAAGATACTGTATTGTCTATATAATAAATATACATATTTTATTTTGGCGACAGTTATCTTTGTTAAGTGAATAATGACAATGTGACGTTATTCAAATAATATTAAAAGACCTAAATATATTATAATATGTCTTATAAAACAAGAAGTAGCTCGAATAATAATAAATGAAAATATATCTCTTCTGTTATTTTATTTGTAATATATAAAAGAAAAGGGTATCTATCGAAATTTAATGAAAAAATGTTTTCCTCTATGAGAATAAACTACCCAGGGCAAAGACAACGGCGATGTAAACGGCCTTAAATGCAGCAAACCGGTAAAATACGACTAAAAATAAGGCAGTAGAAACGCCATTTTATAGTCGTTTTCGATGATCGGAATGATCGTCCTGGGTATAGACTGATTTGAAACCACGTGTCACATGGATATATAATGGAGAAAGTATGGGTAAAAATCATAAGTTGTACATGTTTAAATAAAGAAAAACAAACGTATTTTTCTTATATTGTTATTAAAGGAATGTGAAATTTTGAAATTAAATACACCATTAAAGGATCCACTTTCAATTACGTATAAAAAGGATACATTAATATTACAAACAATATATTCAATAGATGCTAAATTCTTCTATGTCAGCATTGAAGTAAAATTTGTTTTTTGAATTTCATCCACATAAAAATATTCATTTTAGATAGAGACGAAAACATCCTCCACCTTCATACCAATTGCTACTCATATTAACAATAAGTCAGATGAATTACGTTTATTTAATAATATATTTATAAATATATTGCGAACACATCATGAACGAAGATACATTTGTGCCAAGAGAATAGATAGACATCCTTTCAAATAACAACCCCCCCCCCCCCTTATCAAATTTATCTTTCTTTTGTTCTGTATCTTTCGCTTATTCTGTTTCTTTTCTCTTGTTCTCTTTCTTTTCGTATTCTGGTTTTTATCATATACTCAGTCTCAACACGAACACTTCGTATGAAGGCTGGACTCAACATGATGATACAATTATTCTGAACTGTATTGGAAGACTCGAAGACGGAATAGAGTCTGAACCTAGAAGCTCGAACAAGAAGCATTAGGAATCACTTTATTATTTTATTATAGTTTTGTTGTCGTTGTATTTTCCTTTTATTTATTCAATAAAAGATTCATATTCATTATTTATTTGATTTATTCTATTTTCCGTTACAACATTAGTGAACAAAGTTATTGAATTGTTTCATAGCACCATTGATGGTCGTTAGGGTGCTGATCATTTTACAAACTAAACATTTTATTCATTAGGTTATGATTATCATCATTATTATTATTTTATATTATGATACAGATCATTTTGAAATTTTATTAAACATTTGTTAAAAAAATATAAATGATTTAAGTTTGATTTTTATCTGATTTAAATCAGCTTTTTCCCCCTTGAATAGTTATCTTTAGGGTGGGTGTGGGTAATGAACGAAAAGAATACACACACTCACACCCACACCCTAAAATCTCTTAATTCACTAATAACTTTATTCATAATGTTTGAAAATTTATGAATTCTTGAGGATATTAGTAATGAATCATTCTGATACATCCATCTACGCCATATTACGATTTTTAACATAAAATGATACAATGTGTGTAATATCAGTTTCTTTCTATGCTTCTCGCATATTGAACTAATGTCTATCTAGTAGTTGTATTTATGATAAAAATTAATGTGAATGATGAAGATGTGATTATTTTATCATAAAACTTTCCGTATTTATTATCTTTTCGTTCGATCGATAGTTTACGATATTAAGTTAAAATCATTATATTGATTTATAAAATAAATATTGAATATTTCAGAAAAGAAAGATTTTGGATAAGAATCATTCTAGATGTTGTTCTAGTCTGAAAGTATGAACTCAAAAGTAGTTAATCATTTCTAACAGTTTCCTCGTTAGATTAATTTATCAATAAAAATTTCAATTTTGAAAAATAATCTTTTGAAATTATCTGATTTTGTTTTTATTATTTGTAAATAATTTTAATTAAAGATTTTTTATAATAAGTCAGTCTAACCAGAATAAACAAAATGTCATTGAAAATCGATTTGAATATTTTATTGTTTTAAAAAGTTTTTATAGAATGTTCGAGTTCTTATTTATGAGTATTATTAACTAAGGAACGTAATTGATAAATCGTATAATTATGCAATTTAAATATATATTTGATAATATTTCAACTTTGTTTTATTTTTCGTTTTAATCTTTTACTTTTTCTTAATTTATTTTTGTTTCAAATAAATATTTTCTCTAAAGATACATTATATGAATAAATAAAAAATCGAATGAGAGATAGATATACTTTCTATGAGTTGTATAATATTTTATTGTATGATACATAGACAATGATAATGATCATCTGTATTGTGTATGTTCACGCTTGATTACATATCTTATAAGTCTATTCGATTTCGAAATTATGATTGAGAGTAGAAGTAATCTTTTGTGAATAGCAAAATAATTCGCCTTGTTCGATATATTATTTCTAATTCAAACAAATTTCTTTTATTTATTCTACTTTTTTGATCATAGTTACTTTTT